CTCTCACCCAATGAGGAATCCGCCCTGGATTGTTGTAATAGTCTGGATGTCTCCTCTGTTTTGCTGGGTATCTGCGAGGCAGAGGGGGCGGCGCAGCTTGTGGATGCTGGTGCTGCTGGAGGTGTAGGTAAATCACTGCCGTTATCTTCCACCAGTTCCAACCATGTCCCCACTGCGGGCTGTGAGATGGCTTGGTTTGCTTCCTTTGGGTCCCTTAATGTCTGACGTTGTGTTTGTGAGCGAACTTGTCGAGGGCATGGCGATTGAAGTGCACCACTACAGGCCGATTGTTCTTTAGATGCTGAACGCGGTATAAGTGGCCTCTGAGATCCTCTTTAGAACATGGCAAGGTCCTTGAGTGTCCTTGCGGTGTAGCTGGACAGTGTAGCCAGACATATACTCCCTCATTGAATGGATGGTACTTTCTTGTCATTGAAGTCTTTTTCCCTTTTCAAACTGCAACCCATTAATTCTTTTTTTTTGGCGGACTTGTTGGTAGGCCTTCTCGAGACGCTCCTTCAGTTGAGCGGCATATTTTTGTGATTGGCATTGATGGAGATGGGGCCCTAACATTAGGTCGATAAGCACTTTTACTTGACGGCCGAGACATCAAGTGAAAAGGGGTATACCCTGTCGTGGCTTGTATGCTGCAATTATATGCCATACAGAGGCTCCTGAGATGACTCTCCCATTGGTTTGGATGGTTGCTTGTAGCCATAGCCATCATACTCAGGAGAGTACGGTTGACACGCTCAACCAGGTCGTCTGATTGTAGGTGATACGGGGTTGTTCTGGTTTTGACAATCTCCAACAGGCGGCAGATTTCGAAAATCACATCAGACTCAAAATTGTGGCCCCTGGTCAGAGTGCAACTGTTTTGGGAGGCCAAAGCTAAAATATTCTTTTGTCAGCCTGTGGGCTACAGTAGTGGCCAGTTGATCCGGAATGCCGAAGACTTCGACCCACCGCGTAAAGAAATTGGGAACGGCCCCATGATGTCCATTGCTACAATTTGGAGTGGGTATCCCATTTTGATAGTGGTTTAGGGGAGCTAGAGATCTTGTGGATGGTGCCTTCCGAGAGGCACAAACTGCGCAAGTGATGGGGTTGGGGTGTCAGCGTGCTTAAATCAGTTCATTCATTAACCATGCTTCATCTATCCCATCCCTATCTTGTCTCCCTTTCTTTTTTATACCATCTCTATATGCCTTTTTTAAATTCGCAGGATTTTAATTACTAGAAGAATGTTGAACATTGTTGGCTAGCAGGAGCGACCCAACTTAGGGATTTGCCCGCGATGTTCGGGCTGCATAACGTGCCGTCAGCGCACAGCTGTCTTTTCGTGAGGCAAGACAGAGCTACCTGTCGCCGTTACATGGCTCAGGGGGCACGATGTTTTCTTTAAGATTGGAAAGAGGTATATACAGCCTCCATCAGGTATCGAAGAGCGCAGCGAATGGCAGCGAATAGACTAGAGTTCTTTCGCTGGCTAGATTTCGCATCGATATGACAGCTAGACAGCGTGTAAAATAAGCGCGTTCCCTATCACGCAAGCGACGCTGATACAAACGAGGCTCTCTCTGCTCAGGAGTCTCACGGGCACGATGTTCTCTTTCCCTCTTTCTTCGACAACGAAGGGCATCTTCTCTGGACTGATCCATGATTGCGAGAGTATAGAGCTAGCTACACACACACGTAGATAGAATGACTGCGCGAGCCATCCTAGCCTATTTACAACTTGAACCTTAGAACCACAAACATTGGAAAGAGGTATATACAGCCTCGGTCAGGTATCGAATAGCGCAGCGAATGCCAGCGAATAGACGAGAGTTAGAGATCTTGTGGATGGTGCCTTCCGAGAGGCACAAACTGCGCAAGTGATGGGGTTGGGCTGTCAGCAATGGTGTCATGTAGCTTTGTGCAACTTTGTGTGTAGCTAATTTACTTAGAACCACGAAGATTGGAAAGAGGTACTATATACAGCCTCTGTCAGGTATCGATGAGCGCAGAGAATTCCAGCGAATAGACGAGAGTTCTTTCGCTGGCTAGATTTCACATCCATTATATGACAGCTATATAGGCAGCGTGTAAAAATGCAAGCGACGCTGATACAGACGAGCCTCTCTCTGCTCAGGAGTCTCTTCGACGACGACGAAGGGCATCTTCTCTGGAATGATCCATGATTGCGAGAGAGTTACACACACTCCGTATAGGCACACGTATACACATTCGTATGCCCGATTACTTACCACCACCTGACACCCTGGTCCCTCTCCGTTAACTGCTTCTCAGAGCAGAGGAGTAGTTGTGGCCGTAAGCATGTGGCCTGGACGGCCAAGCCGCGACTCAACCCCTTGGTCACCATGCCTACCTAATTGCTGCTTAATTAGTCCCGCTTGCCCTGCCCACTTATTAGCTGGGGCACCTTAGACCATGAGGGATAATTGACACATATTGCCTCAGGCCACTTGCAAATCGCGGCTTGTGGTTGGGTTGAGTACACAACTTGTCCATCCCAGCACACACACTTGATCACATCAGTATAAACTGATGGAGAACAATAAAGGGGTGGGGTTGGGAGGCAAATTTTTCGAGCTCGTCTGGCTATGCTTCCAGCTGCCCGCTTACCGAAGTCTGACTGTCCACACGCTCTTCCATGCGCATGCGCTCTATGATACCAAACGTTGCCGAGGTGCGCATGCGCCCATCGTCCTTATTCTGCCTGACTCCTCGGCCTAGAATATGAACTAGGTTTACCTTACGCTTTCAGCACGTCTGTCGTGGTCCACCAGGCAGCTGGCATGGCAGTAGGCTATGCAGCGATCGATCGGGCTGGCCGACAACGCGGCGTGTGTTAGCTGGTCAACCAGGCAGCTGACATGCAGCAGTATGTGCACGAGCAATCCTAGCGTATTTGCAAGTTGCACCTTGGAACAATGACGATCGGGAAGAGGTACAGCCTCGGTCAGTCACCGAAGGCTGCAGCGCATGCCGTCGAATGGAGGAGAGTTCTCTCGCTGGCTAGATCGATCGGCGCATATCGCGAGGCACTGTGTGAAATGTGTAAAAATTTGGAAAGAAGCGCGTACAAAGCCGCGCATGCGCACTTACACGACGTACGGTCGGTCGTATAAATTCAGCTCGAACGAACGACTAGGTTGGCTCGCTCCCGCTCGCCGACAAGTTGAAAAATCATTTCTTCAAAATGAAGGGGGATATAGGGATGGCTTGAAGCACCAAAAGGAAGAAACAAGGGGTCATTAGCTACACACAAAGTTGCACAAAGCTACATGACACCATCCCTATATCTTTTTCTGGAGGCGAAAATTAAAGATGTACTCTTCTTTTCTCAAAAGCTACTTGGACATATTTTGCATACTGATACATTAGCTGTTTGTTGTCTGTTTGAGAAATAAAATTCCATTTGTCAATGTCAGTTAAAAACTGGAACGATTTGTTGACCTGTTCGCATTTGGCCAAGAGCTGAAGCCTTTCCTGGTCATATAGACGGCAGAAAAAATGCAATTCATCCTCAATCTAATCTAATCTACAGTAGAACTTACGAACAAAAGACACTATGAGGCCAGTGATTTTGTCCATACCTCAGAGATAGTCACAGCATATGTCACAGCATGTATTAGTTATGTATGTCCGTGAGGTACGCTATGGGGCGCCATTTGTCTCAAAATTCGCGTTCACCAGACTACCCCTTTTCGCAGCGTTTAGCTAAATCTTTGGATACATAATATAGCTATAATATTATCGTTGGATCGATATAGCTAAATTGTTGGATATAGCTAAATCGTTGGATACATAATATAGCTAAATCGTTGGATACATAATTATAGCTAAATCGTTGCATACATAATTTATAGCTAAATCGTTGGATACATAATTATAGCTAAATCGTTGGATACATAATTAGCTAAATCGTTGGATACATATAGCTAAATCGTTGGATACATAGCTAAATCGTTGGATACATACAGCTAAATCGTGGTACATAATTTATAGATACGCCCTTATTGCGTGGGCGTCGATATTTTAGTTAATAGCATGGCTAAAACGCTCGAGAATTATAGCGAATTTTGCATGTCTCGGATTTTTCACTCCTTGTTTTACAAGCTCATTAGTATATTCATATTCCCCCTCCATACATTCTCTATGGGAGAGAAAACCAGTGCGCGACTTCACCGGGAGCGATCGGTCCGTCTCCTCTATATATGCGCAGTGGTTTTCTCCGCCTCCTACGGTACGCGGAGGCGTATTTCGAAAAAATGGGCGTAGCACCTGCGTGGCAACTCAAAACGTGGCCACACCCATTTTTGAAACTGGCTTTAATATCAATCCGTTGGTTCCACTCATTGGCCGCCTCGTAGCCTGTAGTGCGAGAACTCGCGCGGACAGACAGACAGACAGACAAACAGAACGACCATATATACTGTAACCCTCGCTGCGCATGCGCGCCGAGGGTTAATGAAAGTGCAAACCCTCGGCGAATTGTGATGCGCACGCGTAAGTAAACGCATGCGCGGTACCACAAATTGATGGGCTAGGTTTAGTTTTAGCTGTTACTCCTGGTCTCTTGCCAGCTCGCGCAGAGTCGAAGTACACAGAGCACGCGGATCGATCAGACCGTTGTAAGCCGTCGTGTATTTGCATATAGGCTTTTTCGCTTTGCAACGGAGCATTATCAGAGAAAACCGCATAAATTTTCTGACCTTCATTGCCCGTTAAGTAGGTAGTATCGTTTGTGAGACGAAAGAACACTGGAGAAGTGAGATGTCGCGTAACAGACAGACACACACACACACACGCACGCACACACACACACGCACACACACACACACACACAGAACGACTACTGTATATACCCTCGCTGCGCATGCGCGCCGAGAGTTAATCGCAAGTCGAGTCCCGTGGTGGGCGCGCAGCGCCCGAGGGCCGAGTGATTTATTCCGGAAACGTACCAAACGGACATGACATAAGTAATTTATGTCGTATGACCCGCGTTGCTGGCCTTCTCCTGTTCTTCTCCCTCACTCGAGCGCTTTTCGCGCCATCCCTTGCGTCTCACAGGAAGTTGATATAGCCCTCGCTGCGGGTATTTCGCCATGATATAGTGCGTGGCGGCGCTTTTGATCCACCCCACGCATGACGACATACATATATATAGTCACAGCAATTTGTTGTATCTCTGATGATTTTTAGCGATGATATACTAATAATTATAACTACTTGTCATTACAGAGAATCGATCACATACATTATACTGGACTATTGGAGTCGGCATAACTGTCATAGGAATAATATACTTCGCACACATCAGTCAAGAGAATCGACAGAGTAAGTATAATACAGTGGAACCTCTGATAAGTGTCTCTCTGAGATAGGGACGACCTTTCTACAAGGGAAACTTGTTCCGCATGTATTACTGTATTTGATTCTGAGGTATGGACAAAATCGCTGGCCTCATAGTTTCTTTTGTTCGTAGGTTCTACTGTAATTATAAGTCAGACATCGACAAAGTGCCAGCCTACAGTTGTTTTCTTCCAGTCATTAGGGACTGCCTCAAAGAGAGTAAAGACAGACCAGCAGCTGCCCAGCTCTGTCACAGTCTGGGCCAACTCAAGAACACTCCAGCCTACAGTGGGAGTCATAGTGCAGTGCTTCTTGAAGTAGGTTTTATAATCCCTAACACCGTTGTGCTGGTTGAATTCTTCCGATATTTTCAAGTAAATAAAAAATTCTTTGAATTAAAGAAGTGTGGAATATAGGGATGCCATAAAAAGTAAGGAGACAAGACAGGGAAGACCTAGTGAACATGATGCAGTAGTACAATGGATGATGGCTACATACTTTGAACCGACATCGCTTGCTCGTGTAAAATTTCCTCCACACGAGCCCTATATTGTCGCGAAGTACGAGTGTGCTCCCTTGTATGATGCACAGCTACGATATTTCATGAGCACATTAGACAGATCATCTGCTCGGTTTTCAGTTGTGATTGCATTGTGTGAAGTCTAAGACTTCTACATTGCTCAACTAACCACTTTTACAATGCTGAGTTGTTGACCATCTACATACAGAATCCTTTCACCATTGTCCTCGCATTTCATTTTCCCTCTCACTTCACTAAACAAACAGTAAAGGTGGCAACAATATAGGGCTCGTGTGGAGGAAATTTTACACGAGCAAGCGATGTCAGTTCAAAGTATGTAGCCATCATCCATTGTACTACTGCATCATGTTCACTAGGTTATCCCTGTCTTGTCTCCTTACTTTTTATTGCATCCCTATATTCCATATTTTTTTAATTCGAAGAATTTTTTATTTACTTGTCTCCTTTCCTTTTTTTACTGCATTCACATGCATGGTGTGCAATAAAAATGGGATATATTATTTGGGCATAAGCCCATAAAAAAAGTAACATTAGTGGCCTTAAGCTATCATCAGATGTTTTGCGTCATTCACATTACATCAGTGCACCAAGTTTCATTGTGAGAGGACCCATCATAAGCAAGTTATAGAGACTGACAGTACTTAATATTGCCTGAGGCTGTTTGTTGTTGTTTACAAACTTGTAATGTTTACATTTTGATGCGAATGATGTGTTGCATGTGTGTACAAAGTTTTATTACTCTGGGTATTAGCCTTACCTAGTTAGCACACTTTATTTGTCTCCATTATAATGTATTGCCTGGGGCTATTTGTTGTTGCTTACATGTAAACAAAATTGTTTACGAAGAAATAAAAATGCTCTTGCACGACCTGTAATGGATTCCAATATCTGTGCAAAGTTTCATATGCATATCTTACCCGGTGTTTGAGATACGCTTGTCTAAACTGAACAACAAGAAGAAGAAGAAGAAGAAGAATTTTGAAAACTGTACCAATTATGCGATTTAAGCCATTTCTTGGATACATGCTCTTTGTGACGATACGGATCAGTCTGATGTGTCAAAAGTTGGATCTGATTGAAACTGAAAGTCAAACATGAAAATCTCAAATGTATGGGCATAATGCAGGACAACCTGTGTCATCCCTATATCCCATACCCAGGGAAGAACAGAGCTCCACGATGCTGCTGTGAGAGGAGATGTGGAGGCAGTTGAGAGACTCCTCTCCACTTCTGTCAATATCAACTCCAGGACTGAGGATGTGAGGCTCTCTACTAGTGAATGTGTAGTCTCATTTCTGACTCAGTTCATTGACTGCTGCTCCACTGGTCTCTGTATCCCCATCACTTGCAGGAAGGACACACTGCTCTACTGTTAGCCTCTTACCTAGGTCATGTTGAGGTTGTACGTCTGTTGCTCAAGGCTGGGGCTGCAGTTTTTATTCCTGACAAGGTTTGGAAACCATGCCATCATGATTATTCCATTGTCTGCATGTTACCTACAGTTTTGCAAGACTCCACTGTACTGGGCTTCAATCAGAGGTCACAGAGCAGTAGTGGAGCTGCTACTAGAAAATTGTGCTGATGTCAACACTGTCGATGAGGTAACTAACCTATCATTAATTTAATGAACACATGGGAGCAATGAGAGACAATGAGAGAGTAGTAATAGACAATATTAACTACGATGAGGAGGAGACCTGACTGAGATGGTTGTCAGGTCTTCTGGTGTCCAGAGAGGGAGATGAGTGGTCATTAGTGAGTCAGGAATGTCTCATTAGTTCTCTCTCACTGTACAGGATGGTTCCAGTCCACTCTATGCTGCCAGTTATAATGGACACTCTGAGGTGGTGGATGTCCTCGTGAAAGCTGGAGCTGATGTACATCAGGCAAAAACCAAGGTATGTGAGGAAGTGTGATGTAGCCAGTTGCTTTTTATTTGCTTTTACTACATCGTTTCACTGTCACATGAATCGTTCACAATAATTTAAACTCTTGGGTTAATGTGGCCTAAAGGTATTGATGTATTTTTTAATGACAGTGTGAGTCATTAGGGGGGGTGCCTTAGTACTCTCACTGACTGGCTCTTACAACCAGTCAGCATGAACCTCTTTGACACAACTACAAACACAGGCTTCTGGTCCAAAATAACATTTGGCCAACTGCATGCCAATCAATAGACTCCGTGCCCGGACCCCACCCACTCATCACGTGGAAATGGTGCCTGGTAACTATTGACACAGTTCTTGGTCCTAGATCTCGAAAACGGGATCTCCAATAAGATTGTAGAACGGCCAATCAACGTCACGTGCATCCGTTGTCCGCGGACTTTGGTAGGCGGGGCCCGTATGACTCACATACTGGATGAGAGGTTCGGATACTACGGATGTGACGTCTTCAGGACCAGGTTTTGTGTCAATAACTCCCAGACGCTCCCTTTCCCCTGTGGGTGGATCGGCTGGGTACGAGACTAGCCAATTAACTGGTCCTTTTCCAGTACAAAATAGTGTACAGATTGGAAAAAGGGCAAAAGACTGCTGATGGCTTCAACAGCAGGAAAAAACTGGTAGCCAAAATTTTATCCATGATGTAATTTATATGCCACTTTTGGCAATTTAAAATAAGCCTGCTGTGGGTTAATTGATTCTCGTATGCAGAATGAAGTGATAATGTTCAATTCATGCCTGCGCTATATTGATACATGTGAAAACTATGAGGTAGAAAGGCAAAGGCACAACAAACAAATCAACTACACCCAGGACAGCTCTTTTTTTCCAAGGAAAAATAAAGAGCTGTCCTAGGTGGTATTCGAACCCACGACACTCTGCAGTCTAGGCGAGCGCTCTACCAACTGATCTACCAGGACAACTCAGCTGGTAGGGGTTCGAATCTACAACACAACACAACACAAGGCAAACCTCCAACCACTGTGCTATGCACACATGAAAATAACCCAATACATCATTACCTTAGTGTACTAAATCATCTGCTAGTAACTAATGTGGAATCATTATGACAAGTTGTCTGTATTGCAGTGTGCAGTAATTTCCATGCACCTTCACAATAGTAGTCAAAGCAATCTTGTCGTGAGGATTGGGGACCAGCCCCCCTCCTCCACTGTAGGTTGTCCTCCACCACCTCCTACCCACCTGCCCCTGTATCTATCCTCCCATCATTTGGACTCAAAACGAGTCCAGAAAAGGCAATAATCAATATTATGTCATCTTGCAGTATCAGGCTTTAACGCAGAAAACAATATAGTTGAGGGATATAGGTGAAAAAGCTTCTTCCACCCTGTCCTTGACCCTCTTTGCAGTTAGATAAAACCCTGTGTAGTAGGCAAAAATGTATAGCATTACTTCACAGTCAACATGTGTTGATTTGTTGGTTTGTGTGTAACTCTCGCATTAACTGCCCACATTCATGTTAATATTGTTATAAATTGGATTGACTATTTCTGTTCTCACCTCACACCATGTCCCATGTCCAGTGTTCTGTTGTATGTTCTCTACAGAATGGCCAGACTCCAGTCTACTCTGCCTCCTGGAAGGGTCATACAACTGTAGTTAAACTGCTGATAGAGAATGGAGCTGACATCAGTATCTGTGATGAGGTATTGTACAGTTGTTACACTCTCTGTAGCTGGTTAAGTAAAACTGCAAACTAGTTGTTCCAGACACTCTCATGTGCTGCGCTCATGTCAGCCTTTATAAACTCGTGATGCCAGAGAGAGAAGTTGTGGTATGCTCTGCTGATGAGGGCCAACAAGCCCGAAACAGCTGCCCAGAGCTCCCATCTTTTATCTCTTGGCATCACATGGTTTTTTCTACATGTGTATGCACTGGCAGGATATGGGTGCTTGCTGGCTTCATTGCTCCGGCCCAATCCACTATGCCAGTATTTTTGAATTCGGGTTTTGGCTCGCTGCCTTACCTTCACCAGCAGGAGTGGGGAGGAGCCTAGGCTCCAAACCATGAATGTCTGGACATGGTCAGCAGCACATACCAGTGGCAAAGCCTTGTGGGGATGAATCTCAATAGTTCAGAACCACAAGTGCTGCGCTCATGTCTGCCTTTATGAGCTCCGCATCGTTTATCTCTTGGCATCACATGGTTTTTTCTACATGTCTCATCTGTTGACCTAAAATACTCCTGTCAATTGCTGTGGACTAAAACGTTCGAGCCATATACAGTGTAAAAATAAGTAGCCATAAAAATGTGGGAAGTTTCATACAAGGCGGCCTTGGATGTAACATGATATCTGCACAAGCTTCAGAGCTGAATAATGCACCCCAGTCAAGGGAATGTAACAACTTTGCTAACTGGTGATCCCCTTTTATCATGGGCTTACTTTCCACACCCTCCAGTTGTCTGAAATTAGTGCATTGATTTCTAGGCAATGGCTAACAAATAGCCATGCATGTCAGCAAACACTGTTGGTACGTAATAATTATTACATGTTCCAGATTGGAAGTAAACCCCACTTCCTACTCTCTCACTGTACAGGATGGTGCCAGTCCACTCTATGCTGCCAGTCAAGAAGGACACTCTGATGTAGTGGACACTCTGCTAGAGGCTGGTGCTGATGTCCACCAGGCCACCACCAAGGTATGATACACAGTCGTTCTAGAGCTAGTCAGCTCATTTGTCCACCAACCATGGTGG